TCCCCCAGGCAATCATTGAGTCTTTGATGACCTCCTCTCCAATCCAGTCCATTAAGAGGAATTGATAGAGTTTGGATAATACCTTCTCATCCTTCCCCAACAAGATCTTATCAAGTTCCTGTAGAGAATTATAAATTCCTCCTTTATTTTTATCCTGAGCTGTCCTAGATTGGATCTGATTGTATGACCACCAATCTAGCTCATAGCCTAATTCCCCCAGCATATTTCGAGATTTTACTTTGCCTGAAGGATCCAACAGAGCTTGGTAGATTAGTGGTTTATTTCTGTTGTAAAGAGTCGGGTGTGTCATTGCCTCTAAAGGGGAAAGCCAAATCGGAGTCATCAGGTAAAATTTATTTCTTATTCGATCCCATATGGTCATCAAAACCTTTCGAATAAAGTGGTCCATAAAATATTTATGTTTTTTGGGCCTTTCCTGACTCAGACAATAGTGCCACCCCTGTTGCAAATTGTGACCTTCCAAGCTAAGGATTCTCCTCCTCCTCAAGGCAATCCAGTCTCTGATCCAAGTTAAGACAGCTGCCTGATGATAAAGCTCCCATTTAGGTAGGCCAAATCCTCCCCTGGAAGGGGATTCTTGAAGCATTTTCAATTTAATCCTTGGTTTTTTATTCTGCCATACAAATCTACGTATACACTGATCTAAAGAATGAAAAAAAATTGTATCGACTAAAACTGGGGCTGTCTGAAAGAGAAAAATCCATTTAGGCAGGATATACGTCTTAACTACTGCAATTCTACCTAATAATGATAGCTGTAAACTTTTCCATCCTTCCAACATTTCTTTAGTTTGACTAAGTAGTTTTTGGTAGTTGTCTTCTTTAATGGTCGAGCATTTAGATGAAAGCCAAATTCCTAAGTATTTTAGTTTTTTGACTATCTGGATCCCTAGTTCTTCCTCTAACTGCGCTTTTTGATTCTTCGTCATATTTTTAATTAGGATCTTGGTTTTATCTTTATTTAATTTAAATCCCGCTACTTTCCCGTAAGCCTCCAATTCCTGTAGCAGGATTGGTCCCGATTCCAAAGGTTCTTCCAAGACAAATATCAAGTCGTCCGCAAAGGCTTGGAGCTTAAACTCTTCCCCTCTGTTTCTTAGCCCTCTAATTCCTTGATTTCTTCTGACCTCATTCAATAATAACTCTAGGGTTAAAATAAATAAAAGTGGAGATAATGGACATCCCTGTCTAGTACCTTTACTTATATCAATTTTTTCAGACTCCTCCCCATTAATAAGTATTTTCGCTGTCTGTTTTGCGTATACTGTCCGGATTGCCCTGGTAAATCTTTCCCCGAATTCCATTTCGCTCAACTGTGCAAAGAGAAATTTCCAGCTCACTCTGTCAAAGGCTTTTTGTGCATCCACGGAGACCAGGGCCACCTGTTTATCAGAATTACACTCATAATATTCTAATATATTCATTATAGTTCTCACGTTATCTTTCAATTGTCTATGAGGTAGGAAGCCATTCTGGTCTCCGTGGATGTACTCATTCAGGAAGATTTTTAGTCTCTTCGCTAAAATCGCAGAGAATAATTTATAATCGGAATTAGGCAGGGAAATCGGTCTGTAATTTTTAATCAGAAGCGGATCAGTGCCTTCCTTTGGAATTAGTGTAATATATGCTTCAGACCAGGAGGGTGGCATTTGACCAAAGACCAGAACCTCATTAAATACTTGAGTCAAAAATTCCCCCAAAGTCTCAAGGAGGGCCTTATAAATTTCTACTGGCAGACCATCCGTACCTGGGGTCTTTCCCCCCTTTTGTTCCCTTAATACTAACTCTACTTCCTTCAAGGTAATCTCTGCATTCAATATTTCTCTCATTGGGGTTGGGACCTTCCGGGGATCCGCTCTAGCCAAATACTCTCTAATCTCCTGGTCCTGTTCATCTCCAGCTGAATACAAAGCAGTAAAATATTCTTGTATTATTTTTCCTTTCCCTTCCTTATCCGAAACACATCTTCCCCTTTGGTCCTTCAAACAAACTATCCTATTTCTCTCCTGTTGCTTCTTCAGTCTATAAGTAAGCCATTTTCCTGCTTTATTTGCATGCTCAAAATGCCTTTGTTTTTTTTTGTTTTTTTTTAAAATTTGATTTATATGCCGCCCTTCTCCGGAGACTCAGGGCGGCTTACAGTGTGTTAAGCAATAGCCTTCATACTTTTTGTATATTTATACAAAGTCAGCTTATTGCCCCCACAAACTGGGTCCTCATTTAACCTACCTTAGAAAGGATGGAAGGCTGAGTCAACCTTGAGCCTTGGAGAGATTCGAACCAGCAGTAAATTGCAGGCAGCTGTGTTAATAACAGGGTGCTTTAAACCACTGTAGTACCAAGGCTCATCATTGCCCATCATTACAGAATTTACAGGGAATGATGCAGACGATGCAAGAGGTAATGATGAAAAATTTTGAGGACTTAACGATGAATTTGAGAAGTGAAATGGGAGCGGTGCGGGGAGACATTAAAATATTAAATGAACAATTGACAGAAGTGCGAGAGGTAATGGTTAAACAAGAGGGAAGACTTCACGAAGTGGAAGCCCGTACTAACAGATATGAAGAACGCTTGGCAGGACTGGAACTTGAACAGGCCGCAACTAGGAGGATTATGGAAGAAGAAATAATTTTCTTACAGATGGAACGCTCCTCCTTTTTCCTAAGAATGCAGAATGTGGTTCAAGATAAAGAAGAATGTGTGAGAGAAGTAGTTGGAAGTATTTTAACTGAAATCTTGGAAAAAGATAAGGAGTTAATAATGAAAGACATTGATGAGGCCTATAGGGTATTTACGGGATATGCAAAGCGACATAATTTGCCTCAAGAAATTCATATTCGATTTTGTAAGAAGGATATACGGGAGGAAGTTTATAGGAAGGCAAGGGACCAGGTGATATCATATAAAGGACAACAAATTATGATTTTAAATCCCTAGGAAAGTTAGAGAGCAGCGGCGAAGATACCAATTTTTGACGATGCAATTAAGGAAAAATGCAATTCTATATAGATGGTTGATACCGGAAGGTTTACTGATAACTTTGCGAGATAAGAGGATTAAAATTGAGAACTTGAGAGATGCACGAGATTTCTATGAACTAAACTTTAAGGCGAATGAATTGGAGACTGAGGGGGAAGCGGAAAATGGAAGCTTAGAAGACCTACAGGAGGATGAAGAATTTAAGGAACGAACAGATGGGAAGGAGAGAAAGATAGAGAGGGAAGGAGTTGGTGGAAGGAAAGAACCCCTTTCCCCAAGGAGAACCCGACAGACTAAAAACAAAACAGAGAGCAAGTAATAAGTAAGTAGTAAGGAGGATGATAAAGGGAAAGGTGGGGGTATCTTTATTTTCAGCTAATATTAATGGTTTAAATAATCCATGTAAGAGAAAGGGAGTGTTTAACCGGTTGGTAAAAGGAAATTATGATATGATATGTCTGCAGGAGGTTCATATAAAGAAAGCGATACTGGAGAATAAAAGACTGGGAAATTTGTATGCCTCCCTGGCAGATCAAAAAAAGAAGGGAGTAGTGATATATGTAAAAGGACACTTAGAATCTAAATTAATTTATGCCGGGAAAAAAGGTAGAGTCCTGATGGTAGAGGTAACAATGGACCAAAGGAAATGTTTGTTGGTTGGAATTTATGCCCCAAATGGATGCCAAGTAAACTTCTACAGGAAATTATATCAGAAGCTATTAGAGGTTAACTATGCCAATATTTGTTTGCTCGGGGATTTTAATGCGGTTATAGACCCAAACTTGGATTATATACCAGAGAGAGGTAAAGCCGGGAAAAAGAGGAGGAAACAAGTCACTTTTTTCAGTGCCCTTGTAACTTCGAACGGTCACTAAATGAACTGTCATAAGTCAAGGATTCCCTGGATTCGATTCAGGGAGGGTTGGAGAAGGGATGGCGGATGGCAGCAATATTTCTCTGATTTTTATTTTATTTTATTTTATTTTATTTTATTTTATTTTATTTTATTTTATTATTTTATTTTATTTTATTTTATTTTATTTTATTTTATTTTATTTTATTTTATTTTATTTCTATACTGCCCTCCTCCCGAAGGACTCAGGGCGGTGTACAGCCTGATTAAAAGCAGATAAAATATTCGGAGACAGGCAGCTTGGGAAATACGGATCTGCCCAACTTGGCAGCACAGAGTGTTACAGGAAAACAAAAAAGGTGCATTTCTCCCATTATGACTTGTGATGTGGAGCGGAGTCACAAAATGTACTTTCTAAAAAAACACACACATACAATTAGCATAAATTTCTTCCCTTTATATTAGTTGCAGGCTGAGAGTGGAAGGAGAGGAGGGAAAGAGCACCTGTGGAAAGGTTCCCCCAGAAAAAGCTGCCGGCTGCTGTATATCTCAGGTTAGTGGCCGATCCGAGGAACCTCCAGCCTCAGCTGCAGTCTACCTCTGAATCCGGAATCTGGAACAATGAGGCTGTTTGCCATGCAAGGGAGATTTTGTTTTTTAGAGTTTCCAGATTATTGTGATGGGGGAAATAAGAATCTGGTTGGGGAAGGAAGGAAAAAGAAAAAGATGGGAGGGAGGAAGGAAGGAATATAAATTGATGGATAAATAAAGGAAGAAAGAAGAAAGCCCTTTTCTTACATCATCACCCAGCAGGAGTCAACCAAGCCTAGGACACAGGCAACCTACCAAGTTACCCCTGCATGGTCCCATGGGAGCCTTACCACCAATCAGAACACGAGCTCAAATTCAAATCCCAATAGAGGGTATAAATCTCTCTCTCTCTCCGCTCCATGTGCCTTTTTTGACCGGGATCTCAAGCCATGTGATCCTGTCCACCATTAAACCATCTTTCCCAATTGTCTCCATATATTCCAGTGTCTTTTTCCCCACTTGTAACTGAACCCAGATGGACATTTCTTCCAACACCCCCAAGACCCCCCCGCTCTCCCTGCCCCCCCCCCCCCGAGAGACCAGACCAGGCGCAGTGCACACTAAACAGCTTTAATCAGCAGCAGGGCTGTCCCAGCAGACGATTACATGGCACCTCGGGGTGCTCCCAGTTGGGCAGAGAAGCCGCGAGAAACGGGGGAAAAGGCGTTGCGAAGGGGACAGCTGGGCTTGAAGCCCCCCCCCAAAACTCCCGAGCTTTGCGTTCCCGCTAAGGGCCGCCGGCAAGCTCAGGTTTCCTCCGAAAAGGAAGAGTTTCTTGTTATAAGTAGGGCGGCCAACAGCTTCACGAACTCCTGGAAACTGACTTGCCCGTCGCTGTTCTTGTCCAGATCGCACATGATCTTGTCCACCCCCTCCGGATATTTCTGGGTCTGGAAAAAACAGAAACCGGACAAGGATTTGGAGTGCCGTTCGATTCCCCCGAGTCAAAGGATACCGGGCGGCGGTATTTCCGCCCCCCACCCACCCCGGTGCTCGTCCGTCTCCTTGACCTGTTTTCCCAGATTCCGACATGTAAAAATTCTAGTCCCACTTTGGCATGAAAGCCGGCTGGGTGACTTTGGGCCAATCACCAGGAGACTGGGAGTTCTGGCTGACTGGGTGACTGTAGGCCCATCACTAGGAGACTGGGAGTTCTAGTTTCCACCTTAGCCCTGAAAGACGATTGGTTGACTGGCCCAATTATCAGGAGAGGGTGAGTTCTAGTCCCAGTTTAGCATGATAAGGCAGCTGGGTGACTGTAGGCCCATCACTAGGAGACTGGGAGTTCTAGTCCCACCTTAGCCCTAAAAGACGATTGGTTGACTGGCCCAATTATCAGGAGAGGGTGAGTTCTAGTCCCAGTTTAGCATGATAAGGCAGCTGGGTGACTTGGGGCCAATCACTAGGAGACTGGGAGTTCTAGTCCCACCTTAGAAGTTGAGCAGGGGTAGGACTAGTCAGAACAGAGCTGGGAGGGGCCTGGGAGGTCTTCTAGTCTAGCCCTCTGCTCAAGCAGGAGATCCTAACCTACTCCTAGACCATTCCAGACACATGGCTGCCTCAGTCTCTTCTTAAAAACCTCCACAACTTCTGGTGGCAAGCGGTTCCACTGACGAATTCTTAGGAAATTCCTCCTTAGTTCTAGGTTGCTTCTCTCCTTGGTTAGTTTCCATCCGTTGCCTTCTGGTGCTTCCGAGAATAGGCAAACCCCCCCCTCTTCTTTGGGGCAGCCCCTCAAATACGAGACTCCTGCCATCTTGTCACCCCCTGGTCCTTCTCCCCTCCAGACTGGACTAGAAGACCTCCAGGGTCCCTTCCTCCTCTGTTTGTGACTGGTTTGAAGAGAAAAGGCGGAAATCCATCGGTCCTACCTCCAAGCCCAACTCCTTCTGCAGCAGCTGCTTCAGCTCCTTCTTGCTCAGCTTATCCTTGTCGCCTTTTCTGGTGGCGTACTGGTGGAAGACGTTGATGATGATCTCCATAGCCCTCTCCAATTCCGATGGCATCCT